AGAAAGAGAGAGGGAGAGAGAGACGCCGACCCCGTCTGTCGACTCCTCTGGCGTCAAATTTTAATTGCGTTACGACGATCCGCGACTCGGCGAAATGTTAGCTGCTCTCCTTAAAAGACGCCGTTCTGCGAAGAGGAGTATAGGCGATGGACACCGCTTCGAGGGAAGAGGATTTTCTCTACACTTTGAATTCGTCGTAAGAATCTGCGAAAATACGAGAACACCGTTCGGGATGAAGGTTTTAGACTGAAGTAGTGGTACCGCGATAATGATCCGATACGGTGCTGATGGTTGTGGGATGATTCTAAAAGGAATGGTTCTCAGGTGTAACTTCGTCTTTTGGATGGGTCTTTTAACGGCAAAGTACTTTTTTCTCTCTGGATTATTTTAATGTTACCTTAATTAAAATCAACGCCTCTATCTGTTATTCAGATTTTGAGGATTTTAATATTTGGATATTTCTGAGACAAGCACCGAGTTCGTAGAACTTTTAAAATTAAAACGAAACTAGCAACAAAGTACAGTATTTTATAACAACGATTAATTTGTTCACTGATTTTATTAATTTTAATTGAGAGGTACAGTAAATTCTCCCTAAAAATGGACAATTTGAGAAGAGGAGATACGATTATTCGAGCTTTGCGGCTCGTTTTTATAGTTGTTGATACTCGGTAACTATAAAAACGTGTCATAGGGCTCGAATAATCGTATCTCCTCTTTTCAAATTGTCCATTTTTGTGTACAATCTGAGCGTCCATTCGGGAAAATTTACCGTACCTCTCTTGGGGAACTTCCTTTGTAAGTCAGAAATAGAACGATCGCTGTATAGTTCACCAAACGTGAGACAAACGTGATGAAATTCGAGCTCCATGTTCCGAATAACACTATCAAACAAATTTCTAAGCATTTTTTTTATAGTGTGGTCCCACGACTAATTACATTTATACCAAATCAGACACTTTCTTTTTTCGTGTAGCATACATTTTTACCGTTTGTTTTGAATTTGCCGTGTAAATGTACGAAAATACGAAACCATCGACCAGAATGAAAGTTTTGGAGCGACATTGACAAATCGAACAAATTCGAACTTTATATTCGGAATGTCGTTATTAAAAATATTCTTAATCCCTTTTATTGCGGTACCTCCAATAATTATACTTTTTTTGCTAAATAAATTGATAAAACAATATCGCAATGTAAACTAAATTCCTCTGTCATTGGATGTTGAATACATTCCTGTTCGTAAATATGCAGACAATTAACAGATTTGTATAACTTGTGTATTCGTACTGCAATAATCTTGACTATTTCTTAATAAAAATAATGCGATACATGCATTGCACATTTTTTGCAATATCCGCTTGTTTCGATCATAATAATCTTGAGACGATTGATCTTAATATCTCACTCGACCCTAATTGTTGTACCTAATTCTTGTTGTCGGAAAGATGAACAAATGACACGATCGTCGTAAATTTTATATTGTCTTCTAATATACATACAAATTTTATATTTATTATTCGATAACATATGTTGCTAATAAGGTCCGAGAATAACAAGAAAACTGCAGTAGAACACTGTAAATCCATGAAAGGAACTAAACTCGAAACACACATTTGAGTTTGTTCTCATTTGCCAGTGATAAAATATTAGTATATAATATTTTGAAAAATCTCTGTAAAATATAAAATCCAATGAATTTTAGAAGATGTATTATCACAGGTGTAATTCTAACAAGATGTAAAATACAGAGAATAATATATTTTTGGAATAATCATTAATATTACAGTGTTTGCATGGATAGGCGACTGCACAATCGACGAAAATTTGTATTATTTCATGCTGCTAAGTCTAAATAAAAATTATATTTCACCTACAAAAAGTTGAAAGTCGATCAAGTGATTTTTTAAAATTTTAACGTAAAGATGATCGATTTGGTCCCTGAATGGTTTATTTATGCAAAAGTGGACGGGAGTCTAAATTGTAGAATGCCACTTTCACGATCGATACAAATATGCTTTATTTATTAGTTACGCAAAACCATTAAAAACGTGCATTTTCTAAATTAATTATAGAGAGGGTTGTATATATTTTTTTGGGTGGATGAGTTTTCGACTGAAAATGTTTTCACGCGAAATGAAAGATGACTCAAAATCATTGTTGTTATTGGGCCAACGTTTAATATTTGTTAAGAAAAATTGTGGCTACGGGCGATATCGCGGGAAGTATTTACGATAGACCGGATAAATTGAAATTTTAATATCGGCGCGCGGGTGGTGCACTTGAAATTGCAGATCGCAAGTTCAGGCAAATATTTTTCGGTCGAGATTTATTTGTCCGGTCCACATTTTATATAGTTTATTTTATATAATCGTATCAAGTGATCGGCTCGAATAGATTTTTATCGAGTCGGAATCGCCTTTATTTGCCCAGCGCGCGGATGTGTTCGCTCCGCGCGCCACGCGGAAGAATGAATCGTCTGTATCGGTTGTAAACTCTGTCACGCGAAATCTGATTTTTGATCAGCCGTCCCGTGATTTGAATATGTTGCGCCGCTGAAAAATGTACAGTTGCATTTTAAATATACCATCGAAAAACACGTATATTACTCTGTTTGCACGGAGTTGCTGATCAGTCGCGCGAATAGAATATTCGTGGAGATTACTATCGAACAGTTCTCGAAAACAGAAATTGTTCTTTTTGAAACAAGCTCTTCTTTATCCTGAATGTGTGTTAATATATACTTCGGACTACGCTAAATATATACTTCGGATTATTCTAAATTTTATACTGATTTATACTTCATTTGTTACTGACTTTTTAACCGTTTAAGGATGTAGCACATCGTTTAATTCGTAACTGTTACAATCGATATGAAAAATTATTTGAGGGAGTTGTGACCGAATTAATCGTAACAGTTATCTCTCATTGAAAGAAACTCTATTTCAATTACTTATAATAATCGTCCACGAAGAAAATTGATTTTGGTAGCTTATGGCTAGACCGTAGATTTTATGCATTTATGGAAAATATGTGTAGGCGACATTTCAAAGAATATAAAGATTAAGAAGAAATAAGTATGATGATGTACTAATTCGAACTTATCAAAATTATTAAAAAAAGAAAACGAATCATAAAATCATATAAATCTATGACTTGCAATTGATGCAAAACATTTTTATTTTACTGTAAGATCGGCAGTTTATTTGTAACAGTCATCGAAACAAGTCATAAATGTCATATAAACATAATATTATGTCATACTGATATTTTATAAAAATGTAATATTATGAAGAGTTATTTTGTGTTAATAAATTCAGTATTATGATGAGAATAGTTGGAATCGAAAAATTCGTTGTAAATTGTTTCAATCTGACAGCACTAATCAAGTTTTTACGCAGTAGCGTGTACTATTGTTGTGTTTCTTCTTATTGTCTCGTTTCTCAGAGCAAGCGAAACACTGCTTTAGTGTGGTTACGAGAAATCGGTTTCGTCGAATGCGAAACTGATAAATAATTAAAATGAATTGTCCTCGTCGATAACTGTTATTTGTGACCGAAATAATGTTTACGTCACTGATCACTATTGTGACTAAACAGAATTTCCTTTACTGATAACTGTTATGAATAACTGGAATGAATTCTCCTTGTCGGAAATGTGACCGAAATAAAATCTCAATCGTGAATAATGATTGATGGCAACGAACGAAATTTTCGTTTAATCGTAATTGTTATTTCTAAGTAAAGATTTAAATCTTTTGATCTTCTGGATTTCTTTAACAATTTTGTTTACATTTTACCATTAATAACTGTAACCTGAATAATAAGCAAGATTTTGTTACTTATTTGTTCCTCAAGAATTATTTAAATAGTTCCCGGTTTGAATATTATATAAAGCCACAAAAATAATATGAAAAGTTCATGAATGAATAATATGAGCTTTCCTTTAGTCGGCACTGAAAGTGATGAAATATCAAATATCTGTAGATTAAGTATCTGTAATTAAGTTTGATGACCTAGAATCTAGATGCATACATTGTGGTGACTATGTATATCATTAATGATTCATATTTGTTCTATAGAACAATGATATTTTAATTACTGTTATGAATTATTGAAAGATTATTTAATCGTTGATAGCCATATCAATAGTTACAGTATACATACCGAAGTTCATTGACCAGATGATCACTCATTTATTTGTTTCTGGACGTTTCTCATAGATCCGCCAGAGCTCTTTTCAATTTTAAAAATACTTTATGCTTTAACAGTATTAAATGTGCAGTTTAATTTTTTACGAAAAATTATTCTATGTATTTTTCTAAATAATAGTTTAATCGGATATTATGATTACATAAATACGGTTTAATAATATCTAAAGTGAAGAGGACGCTTACAAGGCGGTACACAAATAGTCACAATTTTATTTTAGAATTTATTGCAACTGTCAACTTCAAATATTTAGAGCACGTAGTTCTGTACCAAATGTATGAACTCTTTTTGCAATCTTACCCTCAATCTAGTTGATACTGAATTTCAAAAAAGCCTTCCGCTAATTTTTCGTGTTACCTTTATTAGTAAAAGCATACAAGATACTAAGTAAAAGTAACGTGAGTGCCAAAAAACCGTGATTTTATAGTATAGAAGTATTTTCCAACTGAGATAAAGCAAATAAAAAAACATTATTGTTTATTTTTTTATCATTTCAGCTAAGTATAATTTTTGTAAAAATTTTGTCAACGCATTGTCAAATAAACTAGCCAGCCTAACATCTGAAATGATCAATGTCATATGATTCAATTTTAACGCGTTACCACCCGGAAGTGTGTTAATATTTAGAATTTGTAATTGTGTTTAAAAACCTTTTCTTACATGATAATCTGAAACGGAATTATTAAATTATATTATTGGAAATAATTTATTAGTACGCGGTTGAAATTGCTGTTGCCATTCAACAATTTATTAAGGGGTTCTTAACTATGAACTGAACACTTTCAAAAATTATGAAATTAGAAAAGTTACTAACTTCTTTAATTATTACGACATAAAAAGACTATCCAATGCTACGTGTCAAAATTCTTGGAGAAATATCTGATCGAATGCGATAAACAAAAACTCAATGAAAAGTAACAGTAGTTCACATAACGTTACGAGGGAAACACAGGAAGATGTTACTTTCAAATATAAAAAAAAGATTAATTCTCTAACATAGTTACGTATCAACTGGCAGCGGCTTCAAGATAGGTGTAATCGGATGTGCATAATGTAATTACAAAACAAGTATAATTTCATTATAGAAAGACTCACAAATTTTTTGAGATAATGGCAATGTTCTATTCAATATGTGTCCTCCCTAATGTCTTCTATACAAGTATTGTCGTGGTGTGTAAATCAGGTAACCACGTTCTAGGGATAAAAAAGAATCGTCTCGAAGAGAAATTGTTGGACTTGCGTTTACGTGTGGCAGGTATACAAACGGAGGTCCCGCGACATGGAAACAGAAACCGACGAGGATTTACTGCAGTTTCCGGCCGGCGGCAGCCTGGACGCGTCCAGCGGCTCGTTGTCGAGCGTGTCCCTGTCGGACAAGAGCATGTCGACGGACAACGTCGAGGAATACTTTGGGGATGTGCCGTTCGCAGGTAAACAGCAACGCACGCTTGGCTGCACCGCATGACGCTTCTTTCTGCCCACGTGTAAATGCATAATCGTTGTGTTTCGTCTTTGTTTTTTCTCCTGGTTTTCACCGTCTGCCTGACGATGATCGTTGATCGGCGATCGTTCACCCAACCCTTCGGGTGACGAACAAATTCACTCGAACTGCGTGCTAGTATTCGAATGCGTTTCTCGTCTTACGTCCGGTAACCATTCCCGAGACATTATCTCGTGTTCCAAATGTATTTTCAATCCCATGAAATTGCCGATCGGGACTATTTTATTTTGCGGTTGCTGTCCTCTCTGACGATAAAGCGCAATTGTATTCACGCAGCGTTCTCGTTTCATTCGTTTCACGATCTTGCTGATAGCGTTGGGCAATTAAGTATCAATGTTCGGACAATTTACGACGATCCGGAAGGTTTGATTTTTGGCTAGACCCGGTTCAAATGATAGCTTCGAACAGTGAAATGTGTCATCTGCGAACAGATGAATGACAATCGTCTTTTTATGTAGATTTTTCGAGGAAAGGCATACATACATCGTTTCATCGATTTCTTTAAGTTGCGTAACAGATAAGAATAGTCATTTGGCAGTTCATTTCGCAGTGCTCACCATTTAATACTGGTACATCTGATATATTACCGCATAAGTACTGTATTGCTAGTTATACATTAGATGAAATATCGTTTACCAATATCCTGTATTTTGTAAAATAGCAAGTATCTCTGTAGCGGTTAGTTTAATTATACTTAACGTAATTACATCACCTATAATCTTACTGAATCCACAAAGTTACTACACAACAGTTTCTTCAGATTTACTTGAAATACTGATCTTATGATATTGCGAACTGAGTATTACACACGCCTACGTGTTACTGGTATAAGCTACGTACAATCTTATCGTTAAAAATTACAGAATTATAAACATAGTTACCATACCTTCTTGTATATTTCTAGAATATACATGCGCTATGCGTTGACATCGTACACGTCGCAGTGTATCGAACGTTGAACTAACGTGGCTGCTTCATTCTTATTTACAATGTGCCCGGGGTACAATAAGTCCTGTTATGCCTATCGACGAGTATATCATGAAAGGAGATTTGTGTTCTAGAATAGAGATATCGAACGTGTACATTCTCTTAACCATATGGCCTCATAGATAATTTTCCATATTTTCTATAAAATAAATAATAACGTAAACAGTGAAGCCTAGAATCA